AAAAAAAAAAGAATATACACACACACATACACACACACACACACGTATGCTGGAAGTTTTACAGTCATCTATCCATGGGAGATTGGTTCCGGGACATTCTCCCTCCCAGCAGATATAAAAATCCACAGATGTGCAAGTCTTAGTGACAGGAGATGGCATAGTATTTGCATATAACCTGTGCACATCCTCCCATATACTTTAAATCATCTCTAGATTATAATAACTAACATAGTATAAATGCTATGTAAATAGCTGTTATGCTGTATTTTTTACTTGTATTATTTTTATTGTATTATTATTTTTTATTGGTGTTTTCCCCGGATATTTTCGATGCAAGGTTGGTTGAATCCACAGAAGTGGGACCATGATACAGAGGGATGACCATATTGGCAAAGTTTTAGGCTCCCTTCTCTTGAATACTCTTTATCCATGGACTCAGACTCCCTCTTGTGGTAGAAGCATATCTCCTCTGGCACAGACTGAAAGAGCTGTTTTCTTTCTCAGGAGGTAAAAATCATCTATTTTAGTGAGATATAATGTGCTCTGATGATGAACTACCTAAGTGAACTGTTAGTTAAGACTTTATCTGTGGATGTGAATTCAAGTTCAGTAGGTTTGAAACAAAGAAATAATTCAGTCCTGGAAAACAAAACCAATAAATTTTTACCATATGAAATCTAAGAGAAAAGAAAGAACTGTTAGTCTTCTGACTTCTAGTCCATTGAATATCACATAGGCTGGGCCATTGCTTTACCTAGACTCTGGTGTGGCCATGTGCTGTTTGAGCTATGACTGTCACCATGCTTCCTGACTTTGGCCCCCTCTCCCACCTTGGGAGGTGAATCTTTTCTCTCTCTTTCTAATTTACTTTTAAATAAACTATATTTTCTAATCTAAAAAAAAAAAAAGGTCGGGCTCAGTGGCTCAGTGTAATCCCGCACTTTGGGAGGCTGAGATGAGTGAATTGCCTGACCCCGTGAGTTTGAGACCCGCCCGAGCAACTTGGCGAGACCTCATCTCTGCAGTAATTCAAAAATTAGCTGGTCGTGGTAGCATGCGTCTGTAGTTCCAGCTACTTGGAAGGCTGAGGCAGAAGGATCACCGGAGCCCAGCAGGTTGAAGCTGTGGTGGCCGGAAGCGGCCACTGCACTCCAGTCTGGGCGACAGAGACTCCAACTCAAAAAAAAGAAAAAAAGAAAATCACACAGGCTTTTGATTCTACTGTTATCCTCAGTATAATAGGAATTCTTTTCTACTTCCTTTTAATGAGAAATAATCATTGAATTTCAGAGTATTTCCCGTTTCTGCAACACATCAGGAAAACAGTTTTATTTATTTATTTATTTATTTTGAGTTGGAGTCTCATTCTGTCACCCAGGCTGGAGTGCAGTGGCACACTCACAGCCACCCCAGTGTCAACCCACTGGGCTCCGGCGATCCTTCTGCCTCAGCCTTCCAAGTAGCTGGAACTATAGGCACACGCTACCACGCCAGACTAATTTTTTGATTTATTGTAGAAACGAGGTCTTGCCAAATTGGTGGTGCTGGTCTTGAACCCATGGGTTCAGGCAATCCACTCGCTTTGGCCTCCCAAAGTGCTGGGATTACAGGCTGAGCCACCAAGCCTGGCCAAGAACAGTTTATTTTTAATGATGATAGCTTTTTTGTCATCTTGCCATCCTGCACAATGTTTCAGAGACAGAATCTATATCATGTCTCTGCATGGCTATCCTCAGTTGACAGAAGACAGCTGTGGTAGACAGAATTATGGCACCCTCAAAGCTGCCCATGTCCCTGGAGCCTGTCAGCATGTCACCCTGTATGGTAAAGGAAACTTTGCAAATAGGATTACTGAAGTGAAGGGTTTTTAGTGGAGAGAATTATCCAGAATTATACAGGTGGGCCCAGTGTCGTCCTGTGGATCCTTGTCAGAGGAAGGCGGGAGGGTAGGAGTAAGAAAAAGTGACATGACAAGAGAAGCAGAGAAAAAAGGAGAAAGACTGGCAGATGCTACTCCACTGGCTTTAAAGATGGGACCACAAGCCAAGGACTACAAAGGCAGTCTCTAGAAGTTAGAACAGGCAAGGAAGCAGATTTCCACTAGAACTCCCAGAAGGAATGCAGCTCTGCCAACCCATTTTTATTTGTTTTTATTTTTAATTTAATTCATTTTTTTTTTTTTTAGTCAGAGTCTCCCTCTGTCACCCAGGCTGGAGTGCAGTGGCACCCTCACAGCCACCACAGCCTCTACCTGCTGGGCTCAGGCAATCCTTCTGCCTCAACCTTCCAAGTAGCTGGAACTGCAGGCACATCCCACCACACCTGGCTAATCTTTGGTATTGTAGAGTCAAGGTCTCACCAAGTCGCCCAAGCGGTGTCGAATCCCTGGGCTCAGGCAGTCCTCTCACTTCTACCTCCCAAAGTGCTGGGATTATAGACATGAGCCACTGTGCCTGGCACTTTTTTTTTTTTTTTTAATCAGGATCTCAGTCTGTTGTCTGGAAAATTTGTGATAATGTGTTGTAGCAGCATTAGAAAGGTATTATATAAATACTTTTACACTACTTTTTATATCAGTAAAATTTATAATACACTGGGTGAATGCATAAAGTCAGTTCCCAAGGTGGAGGAAGAGGTGATTTGGCTCACAGGAAGCCAGGGATCCTGCTACACTTCCTACATGCAGAGGTCAGTTCCCACAACAGAGTTATCCAACCTGAAATTGTGATGCACTATTGAGAAACTCTGCTCTTTTAAGGCATATATACTATAAACAAAAAGAAAAAAAAATGATTTAGGTATTTCTAAAACTTCTCCAGATTAGGAATCCAACTTGACATGGCATGGTAGCTCATGCCCATAGTCCCAACACTTTGAGAGGCCAAGGTAGGAGAATCACTTGAGCCCAGGAGTTCTAGACCAACCTGGGCAACAAAATGAAACCCCGTCTCTACAAAAAAATAGAAAAATTAACCGGGCATAGTGGCACACACCTGTAATCCCAGCTACTGGGGAGGCTGAAGTGATTGAGCCCAGGAATTCTAGGCTGTGGTGAGCCATGATTGTGCCATTGCACTCCAGCTTGGGTGATGGCATGAAAAAAAAAAGAATACAACTCTTTTGAATCTTTTTTTATTTTTTGTTGTTATTCAAAGTCTTTTGAAAATTGAAGAATAGCCTACATGCAATGAAGTACACAGCTGGATCAGTTTTGACATCTGCATGCAGCCATGTGACCCACACTCCATCAATCTGTGGAATATTTTCATTGCCCCTTAAAGTTCTCTCTTGCTCCCTCCCAGTCAGCCTCCTGATCTGATTCCAAAGGCAGCCACTGATCTTATTTCCATCACTGTAGATTTGCCTGTTCTAGTACTTTTTGTAAATGAAGTTATATAGTATGTATTCTTCTGTCTGGTTTATTTCTTAGCATGTTTTTAAAAATTAATCTATGCTGTTGTGTGTATCAGTTTTTTTATTGCTGAGTAATAGTTCAGTGTGTTAATATACCATGGTTTGCTTATTCATTTTTTGTAGACATTTGTGCTATTTCCGGTTTGGGCTAATATGAATAAAGCTGCTATGAACATTTTTTTACAGGACTTTTTGTTGATGTGTGTTTTTATTTCTCTTGGATAAATCTCTAGGAGTGAAATGGCAACCTCGTGTAATAGATAAATAGTCAACTCATAAGAAATGACAGGGCGAGTGGCTTACACCTGTAATGCCACTACTTTGGGAGGCCGAGGCAGGAGGATCACTTGAGGCCAGGAGTTTGTGACCAGCCTGGGTAACAAAGTGAGACCCTGTCTCTACAAAAACAAGAAAAAGAAAAATTAGTTGAGCACGGTGGTGCATTCCTGTAACCCCAGCTACTTGGGAGGCTGAGGCAAGAGAATCACTTGAGCCCAGGAGTTCGAAGTCGCAATGAGCTGTGATTGTGCCACTGCACTCAGCCTGGGTGACAGAGTGAAACCGTGTCTCAAGAAAGGAAAGAAAAGGGCAGCTTTCCACAACTCAGACCTGTGCTTTTCATCACTGTACTAATCTCCATATTTCATAGATTCTTTTGTGAAGAATGAATGAGATAATGCATGTAAAGAGCTTTGCATCGTGCTTGGCACAAATAAAGGCTTAACTTCTTAGTTGTCATATTTCTTGTCCCTAGCTGGAGACTTTCAGTCTCTCATTCTCAAGCACTCGGCCTGGATATCCAGCCACCTGCTTGTATGTAGCATCTGATCTTCACTGTCCCACAGGCAGCTCCATCTCAGTTTGAACCAAACTGAACTCTTTTCCCAGCCTTCACCCCCAGTCCTGGCCTGTCTCTCCTGTGCCTTCCTATGGTGAATCCTCTCAGATGCCCACATCTCCCCCCATATCCAACCGATCATCAAGGCCTGGTCTTTTTCCCATCTTGGTTGCTCCTTCATGCGTCTGTTTCTCTTCACTCCACTGTTGTTACTTTGTCTGGCGTCAGAGTCTGTCTCCAAGATTGCAACAGCAGCCTTCCAGCTGAGGCCCATTCCTTGAGGAGTGCCACCCCAGTTCATTGTCTGTACTGCACAGTCCTATCAGCACTCAGCCACGATGATTCTGTTCTAGGAAGCAAACTCAGACTTCAGGCTCCTTCCCCTTGGGTTGGGCTAAGTGCCCCTCTCTCATGCCCTGGGTGCTCAGTACTTAACACTAAGTACTCACGGCACTCATGGCACTGTACTGCCTGATACCCACCTGGCTCCCACCAGGTGGGCACCTGGCTCCCACCTGAGACTTTCTCAAGAGGACAAGGGACGTGTTTTATTTGTGCTGGCCTCTCTGGCACCGAGAACACAGCAGGTACTCAGTCCATCTTGGGGACATTAAATAATTGTATCAGTGGTATCAGAGAGTTTACTTAATTTGCTGCTGGTCCTACTGAGGATAAGGGCTCAAGCTGTGAAAGCAAATAGCATTTGGAACTGCTGGGTTCTTACCCATCTGTCTTGTCATCCTCACAGCCAGATGAAAATTCACTGGATTTCTCCTCCTGTATGCTACGGCCTGGGATCAAAAATGCTCAGGAACTTGCCTGTGGAGTATGCCTCTTAAACGTGGACTCCAGGAGCCGGGTAAGTCCCATAGCTTCCCCCTGCAGATGGCAGAGGGCTTCCCTGACGTGATTCGGGTTCAACCTTATCTAGCTCACTTCACCGCAAAGTTTGTGACCAGAGGCAGGGATTTTTATCAGGTCCTGAAGGCTGACCAGAGAAGCAGATCCGTTTTTTCAAGAAGGCAGGGGTGAGGGAAGGGGTGCGGTTCTTCCCTAAGAACCTGCTGTCTGCATCTGGCCTGCAGCACCCTGTGCAAAGTGGGGTGGTGAAGAGAGAAGGGTAAAGCTGTGAGGGTTGATTTGGAGGCAGGAGGCCCTGTACTGGGAATGTTGTTGACCTTCTGGTTTCAACGTTATTTCAGAAAGAAGAGAAGCCTGCAGAAGAACATCCTAAAAAAGTATGAACCAGTAACACGTTCTCCTAGCGTCTCCATTTTAATTTTGAGTGTGGATGGCAAATGGGATGATTCCGTTGCCGTCCTGAACTGTTCTAATCATGAATCCTCTACTGAGTTATTTTGTTCCCATCATGTTTTAGTCAGCTAATGTGTCTGTGGCTGCACTTCTGTCTTGTTTGCATGTGTGTGTCTCATAATCGGCTTCTGGTGTTGCACTTCTTTTTCTCTGTGATGAACGGGGTAACAGAATGAGCAGCTTCTCGAAGACTAGATGTTGTAGTGACACACAGAATGAGATCAAAGAGCTTCCGGATTTAGCTGCTCACAGACAAAAAACAAATTGGGGTTTTGAGTTTTGTTGATCTGTATTGCTTTTGAAAATTAACCCCAGGAGTGGTTGCCGTTGGGACTTTTCCCTAGCTGACCGTAGCTTACCTATAAACACTTCTCATCTGGAAAAATTTTTATGAGTTTAATGTCCACTTATTTAGGTTTTTTAAAAAAATAAACTCTCTACCTATTCGGATATCTAATTATGTAGAGTCAGTTATTAGCTCCCAATGGCATAGACCCCAAGAGTTGTTATCTATTGTTTTCTGACTCTTATGATTGTGTGCCATGATAGAGGAGTGTATTCAGCCACACCAGAGGGTTCCGTGTTGCAGTCAGAACGCCGGTGTCGGGGGGAGGCTCCCTTCAGCACAGTGGGAGGGTAACAATTAGCCTGGAGCCCCTTGGCCACTTTCGCTCCCCAGAACATGATCCCCTCCTTTCCATAACCTGTGTCTGCCTTTTCTATGAAAGATTTGGCCTTCTTTTGTGCAACTGGGTTCAGTGGTAACACTTTTTATACCTTCCATTAGCAGTGAGAGGCTTTCTTACTTGGATCCCCATGGCTTCCGCTCAGCTTTTGTGTGTGTGCCACTTGGCCTCGGCCTCCGTGACCCGAAGACGTTTGTGTGCTGGTTGCTGAAAAGCTCTTAGATGCAGAAAAAGCCTAACCTGCCCCACATCTCTGTTTATTTCCGACAGGCATTCAACTCTGAAACAGACAGTTTCAAGCTGGCATATGGAGGGCACCAGTATCATGCCAGCTGTGCCAACTTCTGGATCAACTGTGTCGAGCCCAAGCCTCCTGGCCTCGTACTGCCTGATCTGCTCTGAAAAGCTCCTCTGTGAAGCACCAGCTGGTTGTTTTTTTTTCCTGTCACACCCCATGGGGTGACAGGGACCACTAAATGGAATGCAGGCACTGCATAGTTCGCCTCCATGAATCTTATGAGGAATTCCCCAAGAGGTGGGGGGAAATGCATGGAGGTTCCCGGTTTCTCCTCCAGACAGCCTTTGGGATGTGAAGAAATTGCCCTACCCAGACTGCATGTAGCACCAGAAGTTTGCTCACTTATCTCTAGTTTTTTTTAAGATCTTTTAAAATATGGATCACAGTTTTCTTGATCTAAGGAATAATTTGCTGCTGCAATATTGAAGCTGTGAAGAATTGACATTTGAAGAAAATAAATTATTCTGGGACTGGAATTGGCAAGATTGTTTAAGCCAGTGCTTATTTATACTGAATACTTATTGTCCTGTGAAGTAGAATGAATTTATCCACCTTAGTTTGTTAATATCTGAAATGAATAAAAAGGAGAACTTGTGATTAAAGTGATAGGCTGTCTTTCTGTGGAGAAGATTTTGCTCGTCTCCACTGGACAGTGGCAGGCAGGGGAGGCAGATTTTACCAACTTTGCCATCACAACTGAACCAGTTCTCTACTCCTTTCCTTCATTTCTGTCATCTCCCAAACACTCCTGGGCCCAGTGCAGTGAAGAACGCTGGTTTTCACAGAGGCCCAGATCCTGTGTATCAGGATGAATAGCCTCCTCCCAGGAGCCTGCACTGAAAACCTGTTCACCTCACACAAAGACCATGAGCATGGTATTTTTTTCAGGCAGAATTTGCAAAAGCAGTGGAATGAAATCTCTCTGCAGTGGCCTCTCTCCAAATTTCCAAAGATGACTGCATAGGGACCAACACTGCCTGACTTTACAGTATCTAGAAGAATGACCTGAAAATTAATTCAGGGTGAAAATGTGGAGTTCCCGGCCGAGTGTGGAAAACACTGAGCTGTATATTTATGGCAGAGACACATGATGACTTAGACGCAGTGGAAGGAAATTGTTCAGAAACAGCATTGAGTTTTAGAAGGAAAAGGTTCATGCTTTCTGGTGCAGGGAATCTTTGCCATTTAAACTGAATGCATAAAATTAGGGGGGGAAAGCCAAGTGGCTAAAGGCTGTGTTATTTCTAGCAAGAACATACTGATCTAGGACACACATTTCTCTGAATGTGCTTTATGAAGAGATTTTGAATCTTGTATCCTTCACTTTGTATGACTTGGGCTCTCTGACCTAGACTTCACTTTTCTTTTTAAACTGAAAAAGTTGGTTTTATCTATGTAATTGCTGCTTTTACATAATAGCAGCAACTACTTCTTTTCCCCTCTCAGCCCAAATTTTGTTGTGTTCCATCTTACAGCTTTTACGGTTTTCTCCAAGAAAGGTGTAGAACATTTTCATTAGACAGCTGTTGATGAGGCTTGTTTTGCTTTTGCTAAATATCAGAATGCAGAGAAGCTGTGATGTGGTAAATCTGGTGTCTTGTTTGCTCCAGGCATGACCGTCTCTAGCTATTAATGACTGGGACAGTGTCTCTGAATTGTCACCTTTAAAGCCTTTGCTCTCCACAGACCTAGTGGGGGGGGGGGGGGGTGTTAGTAACAACACAGGTGGGCCAGATTTGGGCAGGCTTTTCCAGAGGCCTCTGTGCTCTCCTCCTGGGCGGCACTAGTGTTGCCATATGGAGCCAGAGTCCAAGCAGGCTTCTAATCTGTCTCATACATTTCACAGTAGAACCGTGATCATAGACTCTCTCTTTGTAATAAGAATGTTTCCCAGTTTGAGAGAGTTTATGTTGCCAAAAACATCCTTTGGAATCATTGTATAAACTATTATTCTGTCCCAGTGGTCTGTATCCATGACAATTTAAAAAGTAAGCTCACCTGTTAACTAGATTGGTTTCCATTCCTAGATAAATTCTAAAATGCCTCAGATAAAATTCCTCAGTATACCCACGGCTTTCCTTACCAAGTGTGATAGGTTTTATCCCTCCTTGGGAGATGCAAGAGGAAAATTCAGCAGACATCAACAAGAAGTCTTCGCTATGAAAAGTATTCACTACCTGTAATCTCTCTTTAGTACGTGAAATGTTTAATTAGATCCCACCAATAAGGATTTAGGGAGTGTGGAACACCACTGTGCTGCTTGTCTTTATACACATTTATTAAAATGACTCAATATTGCATTCAGTGTCACCTCAGCGCTTCATGTTAGCCCAGAGCCCAGTGTCCTTGGAAACTGTAACCAAGGTTACGTATTTCCATACTGTGCACTGTGGCAGGCGGCTTCACCCCACTGCTTGAGTGGCAATTAATAAGCACTTTTATTTCTTGGTACTGTTTTGCTTTAAAAAATTTTAAGTCTTAGTAATTTTTTTTTTGGACATGCTTGAGATAGAAGAGATACAGAGTATATTAGGATTATTTTCCATGCTTTTTCCTGTGACTACTAGTTAACATTCCATAGGTGTTGTGTATTTTTAATAACGTGACTAATTTGTGTACATACACCTATTTTGGGGAGATTGACTCTCATTTGTCTAAAGATGTCTTCTACTTGCCTAGTTAATTGGTGTGTTCTTAAGCTTTAAGAAGCTTAAAGGCTGCATGTTACAGATATTTGAAATACTTGCTCCATGCTGGGGACCACTACAGAAATTCCCTTTAACACCTTCTAGGTCAAACCCTTCCTTTGTGAACAGTTAATAACTGGTATTTTCAAAAACATTTGCCATTCAGAAGGGAGCATTATTGCCTAGCTATAGACCACTCCAGCAAATGTCAGCATGCAGGACAAGATGTGTTTAGCCTGTGTTTTTTTATGTTTAGGTTACTCAGTGTTTCTTTGGAAAAGTTTGCACTAAATAAAAATAATTGAAGAGCCCTCTCCTTGCAAGGTCAAGGCCAAGAAATAAAACTTAAGTAAAACAGCTCCTGGGTGAAGAGTGCCACTTTATAAAAATACTTTTCTAACAAAATATCATCACAAAAATTCTACTTAATCCTATTACCTATATGTTGTTGCAAACATAGTATAAGTGGTTTTGAAAAAGTATTCCAGTGTGACATTTCGTTGTTTTGCCGCCATGGCTCTATTAACCAGTGAGTGCTGCCCATAGTGAAATGTGGCATCTTCTGTGTGATACTTTAAAAAATGGTGTGGCTTTTTTCCTTTGCTGACACTTTATTAATAAACAATTGCCCTAATTGACACGTTCAGATATTATAAAGCTTTACCTCTGAAATACTTTCCGGGTCTATTCTGAAATAACCACTTGTTAAACTTCAATAACAGAAAAACATAAGTGCAGAGCGTAATGCTGCTAAACTCTCTTGGTCTCTTTCTTGTTGGGCTGAGATTTCATATACACGCAAGTCACCAGGATGAAAAGGGGATTGAACAGTGAGATTAGAAGGTGTTGGGCTTTCCAAGTGCTAAGACTGCTCTTAGTTACACCCAGTAGTGCTATTTGCCAGAATTTCTACAGGAAATTTTAATTATTGAGAACATCTGTCACCAGGTGATTATTTTGGGGCTCTTATTCAGAGACTACCAGATTTAAGCTTGACCTCATACTGAACTGCCATAGCCTTCCTGGGTTGTTTTATTGCTTTATGATCCCGTGCTCATGTACCATTTGTTGGGTCCTCTGATTTCCAACAGAAACTATTGACAATAGTTCATTTTAATTTTTTTCATTTTCCTAGACAGCAATATGCATGTTAAGAGTGGGCAAGTGGTACAAAACAAGGTAGAACTTAGATGGAAAACTGTTGCCACAAACCAGATAAATGCTGGAAGATGTAATTTGACATATTTATGGCTTCTTGCCAAAACAGACCCCAAAAATCTAGAAGTTCTTTCACCAATAAGCATGCTGCAAACTACCTGACAAATGAAGTAAAATAGAGCACTGCTGGGACAGTGATTCTCATATGGACAGACTCCCAGGTGGCTTTCCTATCTAAAAGGAAAGGAGGGGGCAACCTGGAAAACCCCCAGTGGCTGCCCAGGAGTGGAATAGAGAGGGGCTCATTAAGCTTCTAACATGTCCCTGATGAGTTGTGCCGTCACATTTATTAGGAGCAGTGAACCGGGTGACATTTCCAAAATTTAACAAAGGAAGCCATTGTTATTTGCTTATCACTTACATTGAGGTTTGGTTTAGGGCATTCTGTATGTGCTAACAGTCAAGCAGAAACACACCTTTTGTTAGAAACCAGTGTCTTTGATGGAGGACACACTGCTTTGGTGCACTCCACTTACCAAGGGAAAACTAAAAACAGCACCTTTTACCAGCTTGTACACTCTTTGCTGTTCCACTGTTCCAGCCCTGTGAGCAATACTTCTGCCCATCTGCAAGGATGTGAAGCATTGACATGATTCCATTGGGATGTCTATTTTAAGTAGTGTTCGTAATTGTCACAAGAACCGTATTTTAGCACAATTATCGGAGAGCATCTTTCTTCCATCACACACACCCTGAAATTATTAGTGAAAATTCTAATATGTTAAGCAGATATGTTTATTAAAAATAATGCTAATATAATCCTGGGCACATTGATTCCAAGAGGGTTTTTGCAGCAGATTTCATTATAATTACTTAACAGCTAAATAACAAAGGTTTAAGTATTTTAACTTACAGAGTTACTAAATAATAGAGAAGAAAGGAAAAAGTAGGACTGACCCAGTAGAGACTGAAGCTGGTATCAATCTTCCCTAAACAGCTGTTTGGTCGGCACCTCGGGCAAAGCTTGTCTCTAAAGGGTAATCAGGGCCCAAAGTGGTTTTTGCACTGAGCTCCTCCTGAACCTATCACAGTGCCAAAGGCATGAGATTCAGAAGAGAGCAGAACTAAACAGTTTATTAAACTGTTCAAATTGTTAAAAATGATTAAAAGCCAGTTAAAGATTTTCATAAACACTATTTCAAAACGTTTTAAAAATGTTACTAGCAATGTATGCATTCCCCTTATTTCCCTCCCCCATCCCTATCTCTTAAAATAAATTTGAACACCCAGTGTAAAAAACACGAGGGAGAATCGGAAGTCAGCTGTTTGAGAAGAAGGTGAAGGGAGCAGACGGTGTGTAGCAGATGCTGGTCCTGCTCGAGGGGCAGCTGATGCAGGCTGCGGTGGCTTTAAATCCCCCAGTAAGGCATCAGGTGTCGGGACTCTTTCTCGTAGACATCTGGAACTATGCCATAAGGTGTCTGTACCATTTTAACTGTCGACTTCCCAAAGAGCTGGCGCTCGTAGTCTATCAGCTGCCTCCAGAAGCCCACGTTGGGCCTGATGACAGGCCTTCGGGCTTTCACCCAGTTGTACGCCTCCAGCAGGCACACATTGTGGAATTTCATCAGGTAAGCGATGCAGAGGGTGGCCGAGCGGCTCACCCCTGCAGCACAGTGCACCAAGGTGGCCCCATGCTTCCTGCTCACACTGTGGATCTTATCAGCCACGGTGTCAAAGTACAATCCAATAGGGGCATGCGGCATGTCAGCCAGAGGCACTTTAACATATTCAAATTGGGGCCAGTTGAAATTGGGGATCTCAATGGTAGCATTAACAATGCAGGTGATGCCACGAGCCTGGAGGAGGTGCCGATTGGAGGCCACACTGCCTCTGCCCAGGAAGAGAGAGGAAGTGATCTGAGCAATGCCTCCTAGATCTCCCTCGGAAATCATCCGAGGGGCCATGAGAGTTCTTGGTAGCGTGCTGTGACCTCTGGAGCTCATGAAGACGCCAGCAATCACACTTGCATCGTTGGGGGCAATACCAGAATGTTTTGTTTTCCTCCACCAAGGAATCCAAAATTACACACTCCTTCCTGCAAAATACAGGTATTTGTCAGTATTGATTCTGATTCATCACAGCCTTCTGTAGTGTTTGCGGAATGGGAAGGTGAAAAGGTTTTTAGGAGGAGTTCTCTTCTGTAACACTGTACATTCTTTCAAGGATGTAGCCAAACCATTTCCTACCAGTTTACAGTTAGGAAAAACATCCTAAGATGCTAACATGTAAATTCAATGTAAGACTCAGCTCTCTGGTGGCTGTCAAAAAAAAAAAAGAGCCGGGCTCGGTGGCCCAGCC